GGTCTGGGAGATGTCCTGGCTGACAGGCACCAGCTCCAGGGACACGGTGATGGTGTCTGTCTTCTCCTTCTCCTCCTGCTGGTCCTGGCCCTCCTTCTCCTGCTCCGTGACCTCTAGCCAGGTGATGACAGGGGTCTCGAGGCCGGAGTCCACCATAATGGGTGGGGAAATGGATTCCCCACCTCCCAGGATCTGGTGCAGCTTATCAAAGTAAGGACAGGTGTGGGGTCTTTCCCCTGAGCGTGAGCTGCACTTTCTGGCCCTGATGTATCCCTGACGGAGCTCTTTGACCTTACTCTGGACCTGTTCTAAGGTCTGGGGTGAGTGTCCACACTCCGCCAGGGACTCGGCCATGCATTCAAAGATGTCTGCGTTGCGGCATTTGGAGCGGAGATCCTGCAATGTCTCCTTCTCACCCCACAACTCGAAGAGTGACATGATCTCTGCTCCAGACCAAGAGGGTGCTCCCCTCTTGGTCCCCCTGGGTGGGTCCTGGGACGTGTGGGGCTGCTCCCTGTGAGGGCCAGGAGGATCTTGGGGGGCTGCTCTCAGGCCAGCTTCCTGCCATAAGTCTTGTCCAGGGTGCCTGCAGCTTTAAGAGGGACAAGGAGACAAAAACTATAGAGTCCTGATTAATTTGTATGGAGTGTCCACCAGGACATCTGTGTTATTTACTGGAAGCCACTTCTTTCAAAAGAAAACCCTTTTCCCCGACTACACATGCCTTTTTCTGAAAGAGCTTTTTTAGAAATGGCATCCTTCCTTGTAGAAAGAGGAGTACTGCTGTTGGAAAAACCCCTCGGTTCTTTTGATTTATTTTCGAAAGAATATGTTTGCAGCATGGACTTAATTCAAGTTTTGTCAGAAAACCAGCCTTTTTTCTGACAAAACTCTGTAGTGTAGACATACCCTGAACAACAATTTTAAAGTCCTGTCTACAAACCATTTGTAGAGCATTAGTGTGAGTCTACATCTGTCTACCTGGGCTGTGTAGTTATATATCATTGTACCTCCATGACTTCAATGTAGTGAATCCTGATTTACACCAGTGTAATGCAAGGCGGAAGCTGGTAATTAGAATGCTGCTTATTGACAAGTAATCTGATGAAATAACAAGTACTTACAAAATTCTGCTCATTCTCCTGTTCTGTGGAAAGACCAAGCCCTTTTATACTACATGTTGTGTGTCTACCAACATTCTGGTTTGGAAAGCAGGGCACAAAATCAGAATAGAATAGTGACTCTGAGTGAAAATAATGGCTTGGGCTCAGTCAGTCTGTTTAGAGAGATGGATTATTATGATTGTGCCAGTGGACATGGATAAACCCTTTTTCTGTTTCTGTGACACATCTGTGGATGATCCCTCCCTCCCCCCAACCTGTCTGCTGCTTGCAGTGTAACTAGAAAATACAAAAAATCAAACATCTGTGCTCTAGATAGACACAGACTCACAGTATGTATGTCACTTATAATCCATCTGCAAAACATGTTACTCTTCAATTATTTGATATAGTATGGGGAGGGAGCTTGAGATTCAGGAAAGAAGCAGGGTGATGGAGGTAAAACAGGAGAGAGAGGGGAAAAATCTGTTGTGCAAACAGGAGTTTTTTCCCCCGTTGCCTTCTGTTCATGTCTTCTTACATCAGATTCTGCAGGTGGATGTAGATACACAATTTCCATTGATTTCAATGGGAATTCAATGTGTGCATCCATGAACAGAATTTGGCCTCCTGTGAGGGGTGTGTGGTTCTCTCTCATAATCTAGCAGTGATACCGAATACTAAAATTATTTTACATCCCTTTTGTTTACCAAATATAAGATATATTGTCAATACCAGGTATGTCAAGTTATCTTGTTATTCGTAAGTGTATGATATTAGCTATAGAATATCAGAGAATAACAAGATAGTTTCAACACCTGATTATCTTTTTATATGATAAAAAACAATCCTGTAGTTTTTGCATTTAAATGAAGTCCAATGAATGGAGCAGCTGAAGAATTAAACCATAAAACTTTTACAATAAGATGCTAGGATGTTCTTAAATGATTTTTTGTCTTAAAATAAATGTCCAAATAATTAATTTTATAGAGTTTTGTAATGAAAATTATGTATCCAACTGCATTGTATTGTACTACACAATTGTAATATAAAAACATAGACATGGCCATAATGGATCAGACAACAGTTCAGCAAGCCCAATATCCTGTCATCTGACACTGGCCAGTGGCATATACTGCATGGGGAATGAATAGACCAAGTGCTCCATCACCTGTCATCCAGATCTAGTTTCTGGGAATCACAAGGCACACAATTTAAGGGATTGTACCCCTCACCATCTCATTGTCTTGGGTAATAATCATTGAGGAATTTATCCTCCATAAACTGATCTAATTATGTTTTTAATCCAGTCATACTTTTAGCCTCCACAGCATCCCCAATCAAAGTAGTGATTGTCGTACCTCAGTGTTTTCGTACCTCGGTACCTTCGGTGGTCTGGACTGTCAGTGTCAGCGTCGTCTGGTCAGGGTTGTCCTGGCGCGCTCCTGACAGGACCTCTACTCCGTTGTTAAACTTTCGGCTGTGTGCGTAACAATCAGTACTCCCTTTATCTAGAGTGTTAGACCCCGTGCACTTGGGTCAACACAAGAGATCTCTGAGAGGCCCCGGAAACGACAGATGCAGGCAAGGTTTGAAATCAATCGAGCAGGTTTATTGTCAAATGCGAAGCTCTACCAGTTGGTAACAGAGATCAGTACAATGTTACACCACTGGGCACTATGGCCCGCATTGACAAGGTACCAACACCGGGCAGGCCTATTGCCATATAACAGATATTAACAGCAGTTAGTCAAAGTTAAGCTACTGTGCACTCTGTAAGTTTAGGCAATGACACCTGCCGTTCAGGCGCCTAGTGCGCCCCCCCCAAGGTCGGCCGGAGAGCACCCTCTGCGGTGTCCTTTTATAGACAGGTACAAACAACTTACATCATTTCTTTACGTACCAGGTTCCCACCCTCTGTTGCCTAGTTACCACCCCTCACCTTATGGAAGGGGGGCTTACTTGCTATCTTTCATGCTGTCAATTCCGACCTGGTCCTGAACCTAGGT